GTCCCGGACGCGTCTGGTTGGCAGTTTTACCACGCCACCTCGCGCCGTGTCCTGCCCTCTCAGGACGTCACTTTTGACGAGTCGGTGCCCTACTACCGCCTCTTCCCCTACCGCACTGCCCCGCTCCCCCCCCCCCGCCTCTCTTCCTCGCGCCAGGTGCTGCTGTGGTAGACCCCCTCCCCCCTCAGGGTGCCGCTCCCTCAGGTGTGTCCCAGGTAGACCCGGTTGAGCCTGTCGAGGTAGCTGTCGACTCTCGTCCTGCTAGGGGTGCTGAGCCTGGGGGTGCGGAGCCTGGGGGTGCGGAGCCTGGGGTTGCGGAGTCTGGGGGTGCTGAGCCTGGGGGTGCGGAGCCTGCGGGTGCTGAGTCTGCAGGTGCTGAGTCTGGGGGTGCTGAGTCTGGGGGTGCTGAGCCTGGGAGTGCTACACCTGGAGGAGCTCTCTCCTCACAGCAGCTGCGTGAGTGGTACTTACAGTACTGCAGCCTCAGGAGAGGTGCTTCTGGAGCTAGGAGTGCTGCTGGAGCTGGTGCTAGTGCTTCCCCTCCTAGGCGGGAGCTGCCCTCTCCCCAGCGGCTCCGAGAGTGGTACGCTCGGCGCTGCAGTCTCCGGAGTGGCGCTCCTAGTGTCGCGGACCCTGGTGCTGGAGCTGCTGGCGGTGCTGCTGGCGCTGCTGGAGGTGCTCCTGGTGCTGGTGCTGCTGGAGCTGCTGGAGGTGCTGGTGCAGCTGGCGCTACTGGAGGAGCTGCTGGAGCTGCTGGAGGTGCTGCTGCTGCTGGCGGTGCTGCTGGTGCTACTGGAGCTGCTGGAGGTGCTGGTGCTGCTGACGCTGCTGCTGGAGCTGCTGGTGGTGCTGCTGGCGCTGCTGGAGGTGCTGCTGGTGCTGGTGCTACTGGAGCTGCTGGAGCCGCTGGTCCTGGAGGTGCTCGTACTGGAGGTACTGGAGCTGCTGGGACTGGACCTGCTGAGGGGGTTGGAGCTGGAGGTGCTGAGCGGCCGCGGCCGTACTACGTTCCGCTCCTTCAGCAGGTTCTTGGTCTCCCGCCCTCTACTGGTCCTTCTCCTCCCCTACTGAGTCCACCGTCTGTCCAGTCGCAGTCACAGTTACAGTCTGCCTCTCCGCTGCCTGCTCCTTCTCCTTACACTGCGCCGACGGGTAGTCTTACGGAGCGTCGTGAGCCTGAGCCTCGTCCTGCGTCGCCTGAGTCTAGTCCTGCGTCTCCTGAGTCTCGTCCAGAGTCGCCTGTCCGCGCTGCCCGCACTGGTCGTCGTGTTCCGCGTGAGCGTCCTCCTCCTTTCCTTGGCACTCACTATATGACCCTGCGTCCTTCCACTGCTCCACAGCGTGTCCCTCTGCCGTCTCCTCCTGCGTCCTCTCTTCCTGACGTTGCTGACCCGCCGTCAGACCTTACTCGTGCTGCCAGTCCTACTGTCGCACGTCTCCTTGCCACTGTTGTCACTAACCCTTCCTTTGAGTCCTCTGCTGCGTCTGCTCTAGTCGCTGAGCTTGTTGACTTTGCTGCCGCCTGTCGTCTAGACTACGCCGCTAGCCTTGTTGCTGAGTCTGAGTCTGTCTGTCCTCCGTCCGTCGGGGGTGAGTGTGCTCTTGGCACGGACGTCCTTGAGGACAGACAGGAGGAGTTTGAGTGCTTTGCTGCTGCTTTTCCTCATCTCGTGTCCATGCTGATTGCCCCTGAGGGAGACCCGGATGCACCAGACATCCCGACCCCACGCTCCTACGCAGAGGCGATGGAGGGTCTCTACTCCTCTCAGTGGCAGACAGCCATGGACGCAGAGATGGCTTCCTGGAAGTCCACAGGCACCTACGTCGACGAGGTTCCCCCACCTGGGGCGAACATCGTCAGTGGCATGTGGATTTTCAGGGTGAAGCGGCCGCTGGGTTCTCCGCCTGTCTTCAAGGCGCGTTACGTTGCACGAGGCTTCAGTCAGCGAGAGGGAGTTGACTTCTTCCAGACCTTCTCCCCGACCCCGAAGATGACCACTCTTCGGGTTCTGCTGCACGTCGCTGCTCAGCGTGACTACGAGCTCCACTGCCTTGACTTCAGCACTGCGTTCCTACAGGGCACCCTGCACGAGGAGATCTGGCTGCGCCGCCCACCTGGCTTCACTGGGTCGTTCCCTCCTGGTACCCAGTGGAGCCTCCGGCGGCCAGTCTACGGTCTCCGCCAGGCACCCCGTGAGTGGCACGACACACTGAGGACTACTCTTGCTGCTCTTGGGTTTGCTCCTTCTACTGCTGACCCGTCGCTGTTTCTACGCACCGACACCACTCTGCCGCCGTTCTACGTTCTCGTGTACGTAGACGACTTGGTCTTTGCTACTGCTGACACTGAGGCACTCGCCCACGTGAAGTCGGAGCTGCAGAAGAGACACACGTGCACAGACCTGGGTGAGCTGACAAGCTATCTTGGCTTGCGGATCACTCGGGACAGAGCACAGCGCACCATCACCTTGACTCAGTCACACATGGTGCAGCAGGTCCTTCAGCGCTTCCGCTTCACGTACTCCTCGCCTCAGCCCACTCCTCTGCCTACCGGTCACTCGCTCTCAGCTCTGCCTTCGGATGAGTCCGTAGAGCCGAGTGGCCCGTATCCAGAGCTTGTGGGCTGCCTCATGTACCTGATGACGTGCACTCGACCTGACCTAGCCTACCCTCTTAGCATTCTGGCACGCTATGTAGCTCCTGGGAGACACAGGAAGGAGCACATGGATGCCGCTAAGAGGGTGTTGCGCTACTTGTGCAGTACGTCGGGCATGGGGCTTGTGCTTGGAGGACGGCGCGACGTTGTCCTCACTGGACACTCAGACGCTTCTTGGGCTGACGACCAGGCTACGCAGCGGTCGTCTCAGGGTTACACCTTCAGCCTTGGCTCTGGCTCTGTTTCCTGGCGTTCTACACGCTCTTCCTCTGTTCTCAGCTCCAGTTGTGAGGCTGAGATCTACGCCACAGCCATGGCTGCCCAGGAGCTACGCTGGCTCACCTACCTGCTGACCGACCTTGGAGAGCGGCCTCGTTCTCCTCCAGTGCTGTACGTCGACAACAAGGCAGCCATTGCCTTGTGTCAGGAGCACAGACTGGAGCACAGAACGAAGCACATCGCTCTGCGCTACTTCCTTGCTCGAGAGCTGCAGCAGCGTGGTCAGCTTCGTCTCTCTTACGTAGCCACTCGGGCCAACACTGCTGATGTGTTCACCAAGGCGCTTCAGCCTTGTGATCATCAGCGTTTCTGTACTGTTCTAGGCCTTGTGCCTACTGTCCCTCACTTGCTCACTTCTTGACTCTGCTTGTACTGTGATCTCTATATATATACCTGCATGCTTACACTTGCTAGGTTGTGATCACTGTACCTCTTGTTATATTATCAAACTGCATGTGAACTGGTCTTGTGACCATTTGCTTGTGCTCGGAATTTGTGTGGTATCCTTGAGATCCACCCTGAGCTTGTTTTGCTTTGCTTTGCTCTGACTGGTCTTGTGACCATCTGGTTGTCTCCCACTTAGCCTATGGGGGTGTGTCAAACATTGTATATGTTTATATTCTTTAGGCTATAGTGGGTTTAGCCTTAGGGGGTACAACATTCTAGGGTTTTCTACTTGTACTCCCAATCCTGCTAGTTCAAACACACTTGTTCATTCTAACACGCAGCACGCCCCGCCTCGTCGGTGTCGTCGTACGCCATGCGTGCTGCATCTTGTGCATCTGCTTGCCATGTAGTGCTTGGCTTGTTGATCGAAGCAGACCACAGTGTGCAGAGAGCTGCAGCGATACCTGTCGCGTACGTCACAGGGTCAACTTTTGGTGGCGGGCTTGGAACCCCTGCCTTCGCCCCAAGTAGGGCTGCTCGAGCCACACCTGCAGAGAGGGCGGTCTCTAACCTGATCTGCCTTGCAAGAAGGTCCGTCGTCTTCTTCTTAAGGACTTTGAAACTGCAACCAGAAACAATGGTCGAGGCGGGGTTAGAATTCCAATCCATATTCATTCGACGGCGCAAAGGTCATTGTGTAATAGAAACTCACTTGTGATATCGGTCCAGAGACAGCTCGTTGATGACACTCGACACGCCAGTCGGCACCGTTTAGGCGAACTGGAGTTCTTCGTTCCACCTTTGAATTTCTGTGGCGGGGATACCGTAAGACGCCAAGTTGCAATCCGGGAAGTACGCCAGCCAGCAGACACAGACGGTGAAGTTTCTACTCCACGCCTCCTTATGTGAGCCCATGTTCCGCTTCTTCCCCCCTAATGTCTGCTCAGATGTGTACCGCAACTTCTCCGGATCGTTTTTGTTTCGCTCAAACAATCCCGGAGCCTTGAACGGCCGCGGCACTCCAGGTCTCTTCCCCTCGTCGTCTGCCTCGACAACTGGCTGCTCCTGTGTCTCATCGTCGGCCCTCTCTACATCTGCGTCGGCCACTTGCAGAACCTGTAGAACACCGGTACCTGGGGCCGTCAAAGCGCCCCCACCCCGCGCTGCATCAACTACGTAGACACCCACATCCCCTGGCTGTGAATAGTTGGCTGTGCATAGCCTCTTTGCTGCCGGTAATTCAGCGTCAGTCTCACTCTGTAGCCGTGGACGTCTCCGGTGATCCTCCGCTTCTTGGGAGACCACCTCTTCCGCATGTTCAACAACTCGTACAGCACCTTCAGCCCCCCTCTGCGTACGATCCAAATTGATCGTTCCACCGTCAGCATCCTCGGATCGACTCTGCCCCATTCCAAGGTTTGCATTTCGCGCCTGCATTTCTGCAAGCTTCTGCCCTTTTTTTTCTGCAGCCTTAGCTCTCCTTTTCTCCCTCTCCCTTTGCCTACGCGCCCCGTTGACGTCATCTGCAGAAAGATCATCTGCAGATTGTACGTCTACCGTGTCTAGTGTTCTCCGTCCTTGAGTCAAGACGGCATCCCGGCTGGGTACTGTGCCATGATCTGCCGCAATCGTTTCTGCACCCCTCTCCGCCTCGATCCGTCGACCGAAGGGTTCCCCCTCAGTCGGTTCTCGCGCGTCGATAGGCAGCAGTGGTCGAGATCCAGTTTCCCCCTCCGTCGGCCTCGCCACCATCTGCCTCACCATCCTAATCTTCTCTACCAGGCCAGGGGCCATTGTGATTCCGCGTTGTGATTTCTGCGCAGATTGGGATGCTGGTATTGTCCTCGTAAAACGGGTTCCTGGTACTGGACCTCCTCTTGCAGATTCTCCCCGTTCCACTCCTCCATCCGAATCCTCCTCTGTCCGCTCCGGCAGACCCTCTACATTGCGACTATCGGTCACTGTTCCAACTGGTTCTGCCACGTTCTCACTTTGCAGCCGTTCGTCTGCCGTGTTCTCCTGGTCGTCCTCCATTGCCAAACGCGCTAGCTCGTCCTCCACTCGCTGCCGCTCTAACTCCATTTCCCTTTGCCGTATTTCGGCTTCTGCCCTCTCCCTCGCAGCATCCTCCTCAAGGCGCTTCCGCCTTGCCTCTGCCATCGAAAGTGCTGCTGCCCTCGCTGCTCGCCTCTGCGCCGCCACCCGTTCTTGTTCCACTCTTACTCTCGCCTCTTCCGCCTCTCTAACAGTACGCTCCGCCTCCTCTAGAGCTTTCTGCCGCTCCGCTTCCTCCTTGCGCCGCTGTTGCTCCGCGTCCTCCCTAGCCCTTTCTTCAATCGTCCTTTCTCCATCATTGTCTACCCGCCCCACATTGGTCACAGTGCCGTGTTCTGTACATCCCATCTGCGCCTCCCTTTCAACGCTTGTCTGTTCTCCTCCCGTCTCTGTACGTCCTTCCGACTCCAACCTCCCCTGTCTGCCTGCAAACCCCCATCCCTCGACCATGTTCGCGGCCGCCGCGAGCGCAGCATCTGGGGAGTTGTCACCCGCGAAAGGTTGGGAGATCTGCGGGCCATACGTCGGGTTGGGTTGTTCCATCCTACCTCCAGTGAGCGTATTGGTAGAGAGTGGTGTATCGGCCGGAACTTGGCCGACCTGTATCCTCCCAGACACCTTCGCATCGACCGCTGCCATGATTTCGGCTTTCAAAGCCTCTAGCCTCTGGCAATTCTCAGCCATCGCCGATTTGACGTCAGCAAGTGTTTCTTGGACGTTGGCGACCACAGCCTTCTTCATCGTCTCCATGTAGTCGTTGGGTAGAACCACCCTAAGCCGTCCCTCCATCGCCGCCCGACCCATTGCCGCATCCACCCCCTCTTTCACGTTCTCCTTCATCGTTCTCAATAGCGTCTCGTACTCCCGTGCCACTGCGCGCTGAATTGATTCGGCTACTCTGCGATGGAGCCCCTGGATAGAAGTGTTGATTTCCGTGCGTGTCTGCGCTGCCCTCTGCCGTTCGATGATTGCAATCGCCTTCGCCTCTCTGTATTCCCGCAGCATGTTTTCAGCGTCTTCGTTGTAGTCCTCTGTCCACCGAGCAATGCGCGTGCATGCAGATTGGAGCTGGCGGAGGTTGCCACTAATCCTGGCATTCTGTTGTGCAGAGCTGCTGGCCACCGCCTGCGCGACGTGGGTAAGACGACGGACGACCTCTGACATTCCGGCCACACCGCCACCAACTCCGGTTGATCCCGCCTCTACAAACCCATCCTCTGTCTCCTCTAATATAGCCGCTCCTTGCATGACGTTCCGTCGCAGCAAGATCTCGGCTTCCCCCCACTCTCGATCTGTCTGCGTCATAGCACTATCGCGGCCGGTGTGGCGAAACTTATCACTCGCGTCACGCGTAGCCCTCGCCACATCATCACCGTCCACCTCCTCCGCCATCCTCTCTTCCCGTTGAACACGCACCCTCTCTGCTTGCAATCTTGCTCGTCGCGTGGCCCCTTGCTCGTCCCACCTACGGCGCATGTTCTCCACCTCCTGCATGGCGATCGTTGCAGCTTCTGCTCGCTCCCGTTCAGCGTCTCCCAACCTTTGCTCATCCTCGGCGATTGCCCGTACTGTCTCATCATCCAAAGCTCCAGATGCTCGAGATGCATTTCCCGCATTCCCTGCAGCTTCCGTCTCCGCGTTTGCTCTGTGCTCTTCCACCGCACTATCCTGTTCATTCTCCTCCCGTGCGCTCCGAGCCTCTTCTGCAAGTATCTGACGCAAAGCCTCGGCCTCTACCCTCGCCATTTCTGCAGCCTGTAGCCTCTCCCTTGCCCCCTCTGCCCTACAGTGTTCTCGTTGCGCCCTAAGCCGCTCGACAGCTTCCGCCAAATCCTGTTCTGCTTCTATACGCGCCAGCTCTTCGGCAGCTCTCATGCTCGCTGCCTCTTCGCGTCGTTGCCGAGAATCCAATTCATCCACCCATCTGCGGCGCATCTCCTCAAGCTCTGCAGTTGCTCTCTCTTCCCCTCGTGATCGTTCTTGTTCCCCGTGTACCCTCTCTGGCGCTGACGATGTAACAACACTCTCGACTCCCATTTCCACGTCTGCATTCTGCCGAGGCACCTCCATGGTTCGGCGACCTCCCATCGTGGCAATGCGCTGCTCCTCCACTGCAATTCTTACCTCCTCCGCGCTAAGTTGTATCGCCTCTGCCTCAACAATTGCCTCATCCCTTCGCAGTTCGTCCTCCTCTCTCCGTAGTAACGCCTCTGCCTCTACCATGGCCCTCTCTACCGCTACTCTACGTCGACCTTCTTCCTCTCGGCGGGCTAACACCTCTTCCACCTCCCTCACCCGCTCTGCAGCCTCTGCCCTCTGCCGTTCTTGCTCAACTCTCAAGAGCTCCTCTGCGGCACTGGCCCTCTCTTCATCATCCCTCGCCCGCCGAGCCTGTTCCTCTCTGCGAACCATCGCTTCTGCCTCCGCCCTCAACCTTTTTGAAGTCTCTGCCCTGGCCACTTCCTCTTCCGCTCTCAAAAGCTCCTCTGCAACCCTAGCCCTCTCCGCATCCTCCCTCGCTCGCCGAGCCTCCTCCTCTATGCGTAGTTTTTCCTCTGCATCTACCCTGGCCCTCATAGCAGCCTCATCCCTTCGCCGTTCATCGTCTTTCATCCGCTCCTCTACAACCTTTGCTCTCTCTGCCGCAACTTTTTCAAGCCGTGCCTCCTCCTCTCTGCGAACCATCGCTTCTACCTCCGCCCTCAACCTTTTTGAAGTCTCTGCCCTGGCCACTTCCTCTTCCGCTCTCAAAAGCTCCTCTGCAACCCTAGCCCTCTCCGCATCCTCCCTCGCTCGCCGCGCCTCCTCCTCTATGCGTAGTTTTTCCTCTGCATCTACCCTGGCCCTCATGGCAGCCTCATCCCTTCGCCGTTCATCGTCTTTCATCCGCTCCTCTACAACCTTTGCTCTCTCTGCCGCAACTTTTTCAAGCCGTGCCTCCTCCTCTCTCTGAACCATCGCTTCTGCCTCCGCCCTCAACCCTTTTGCAGTCTCTGCCCTGGCCACTTCCTCTTCCGCTCTCAAAAGCTCCTCTGCAACCCTAGCCCTCTCCGCATCCTCCCTCGCTAGCCGCGCCTCCTCCTCTATGCGTAGTTTCGCCTCTGCATCTACCCTGGCCCTCTTGGCAGCCTCATCCTTTTGCCGTTCATCGGCTTTTATCCGCTCCTCTACGGCCTTCGCTCTCTCTGACGCATCTATTGCACGCCGCGCCTCTTCCTCTCTGCGAACCATCGCTTCTGCCTCCTCCCTCACCCTTTGTGCAGCCTCTGCCCTTGCCAGTTCTTCTTCCGCTCTCAAGAGCTCCTCTACAACCCTCGCTCTCTCTGCATACTCCCTCGCACGCCGCGCATCTTCCTCTCTGCGGTGTTTCGCATCTGCCTCCACCCTGGCCGTCTCGGCGGCCTCATCCCTTTGTCGTTCCTCCGCTTTCATCCGCTCCTCTACGGCCTTCGCTTTTTTTGCCGCATCTTTTGCACGCCGTGCCTCTTCCTCTCTGCGAATGATCGCTTCTGCCTCCTCCCTCAACCTCTTTGCAGCCTCTGCCCTTGCCACTTCCTCTTCCGCTCTCAAGAGCTCCTCTGCAACCCTCGCCCTATCTGCATCCGCCCTCGCACGCCGCGCCTCTTCCTCTCTGTGTAGTTTCGCCTCTACCTCCACCCTTGACCTCTCGCCGGCCTCATCCCTTTGCCGTTTCTCATCAGCTCTCCTCCGCTCCTCTACGGCCTTCGCAATCTCTGTCGCCTCTCTTGCACGCCGCGCCTCTTCCTCTCTGTGAACCATGGCCTCTGCCTCCTCCCTCACCTTCTTTGCAGCCTCTGCCCTCTGGCATTCATGTTGGGCTCTCAAGAGCTGGAACCCTCGTCCACTCTGCATCCTCCATCGCACGCCGCGCGTCCTCCTGTCTGCGTAATTTGTCCTCTGCCTCCTCCCTGACCCTCTCTGCGGCCGCAGCCCTCAGCCGTTCCTCCTCCGCTCTTTTCTGCTCCTCTACAGCCGTCGCCATCTCTGCCGCCACCCTAGCACACCGATCCACCTCCTCTCTGCGAATAATCGCCTCTGCCTCCGCCCTCACCCTCTCTGCAGTCGCTTCTCTCTGCCGCTTCTCCTCCTCTCTCTTTTGCTCCTCAGCGGCCTTGGATCGTTCTGCAGCCTCTACTGCACGCTGCTCATCCTCCATTTTACGTGATATCGCCTCTGCCGTCTGCCGTTCCGCGGCCGATTTTATCCGCTCCTCTGCGGCCTTCGCCCTCTCTGCGGCCTCCAGTGCTCGCCGCGCCCCCTCCTCTTTGCGTGCGTTTGTTTCCGCATTCGTCCTCTGCCGTTCCTCCACCCCTTTTTGTTGCCCCTCTGCGACCCTCACCCTGGCCGCCTCATCCCGTACACGACGATCCACCTCCTCTATCCGTCTGAACTCCTCTGCCATTGCATTCGCCTTCTCTGCAGCCTCAGCCCTGGCGGCCTCTACCATTTCTCGGTCCGGCACTCCCGGTCCAACCCCAGTATCATGCTCGATGCGCCGCACCTTCTCTGCATCCCCAGTCCCTACAGCGTCTACCTCTATCGTCACCCTCTCTGCTGACGCACTCTCCCCCACCGTCTCTCCTGCGTGAATTACACCACACTGGATCGACGTTGTACCTCTGCGAGTGTACACAGATGTAGATGGCGCCTGCGCATCTGCTGGTTGCCGTATCTCATTGTCGTGTTCAGTCTGTAGATTCGGCCACTCGATTTCAACACCCGATGCTTCCTCTTCCAGTGTTAAACCACCCTCTCTCGCAATCCCTCGATCGGGAACTTCCATCGGAGCTTCGCCGACTGTACCATCCCCTTGCCCCACCCCACTTGCATCGCCTTCGGCAATCGTCTCGTCATCGTGGTCGTCGATGCGCACAGTTGTTAACCTGTCGCACTCGCCCACAAGCCAATCCCGTACCTTATCCTTCGTGCGCGACCCTTTGCCGAGTGTTACAAACGTGTCAGCCCAGTGAAGTTGTAGAATCTCGTCCCATTTCTCAAGCACCTTTGTCCATGCGTGGGCGACTTGAAGGCCCGAACCTGGCTGTGCCCATCCGAGATTTTTCGTCATCTGCAATCAGTCAGGACAATGTACATGTGTCAGCGCGGCGCAGCTAACTCGCATTGTAACGCACAAGACTATATCGAAAGCATTTCAAACTCACCCCCCCTGGAAATTGGAGATACAAATCTGCCAGCCGCGCTTTCATTTCGGCCACGACTTTTTTGTCGCTCTTAGAGGTGTTGCCTTCTATGAACGCGGTGTACTCCACAATCAATTGCTCCTGCAACCACCTGTATAGATAAAACGTAATCAACGTCAGAATCCGTTACCATCTACTTTCAACCCAACCAGCAGCACGACTTACTGTAACACTTCTAGTGCAAATTCGCTGTGAGAGTGCGACGGGACAGCACTCTTGGGGTCGAAGAAGATGATGCGAGTACGGTCTCTTTGCCCGGTGGGAGAGAGAAGATCGCATGGAGCTAAGAGAACAAGGAGGCTAATTGTTGCTTTAGGTTCGCTGCTCAATCTGCACAGTGAAGAAGCGTCTTGTTAGAAAACCGCGCATTCTGTTTGTCGACAACCGAAAACGATGTATCACGTACTTGGACCACAAAGGGAAAACGAGGGCGTCTTTGGTGAGGAGGCCGTCTGTTGGCTTCTTCGAAATCGCTTTCGGATGAATGAGTTTAGTCCGCTTCCGTACTAACGTTGCAGAGAAAATCAAAATCTTCTGCCTTTGCTGTATGGGGAGCAGATCCTTGGTTAATGCCCTGCATGCAAAAGGTTGATAGAACACAAGATGTCAGACTGCGACGGACTGGAATGTCCACAGTACAATATTTACATGGCTTTAGCTGTACTTACAGGATAGTGAAGTTAAGAAGATCCTCTGACCACTCTTTCTGCCCACCGTGTAAAGTGTCGTAGTCTGCGTTGGTTATGCTAACCTTTAAGCCGCAACCTCTAAGCAGAGGTCGGCCGGCCATGGCCTGCGCGTCTTAGTTCCTCTACTCGATGAGCAGTCGCAGGCTTGGTATTAGTAAGTCGCTATCTAAACTCCGAATGCCGTCCCCGCCTAAGGTTGCTGAAGCACTACAAACTACTCTGTCACGCTAGTGGAAGACGGCTGCAGCACAACTCTGCTATCTGGGCGTTGGAATCAAGATTGGCTGCAAAAAAATGGGAAAATGGAGTTGGTCGATGGACACGGATTGAATCGTAAGATTTCGAGCAGAGTTGAGGTGCGTGATGCAACTTTGGTTGGGTCGCGTTCAACTGCGCAGAGTGTAACCCTACATTTTGTTTTGGCCAAACGTTTAACAGCGGTCACATTGGACGTCGCAGTGTGCCGCATCTACTGTGTTGCTAAGTTTAGGGTAAACATTGAACCCTTTGCTAAAAACTTGGAACTGCATAACAGCCACCATATATAAACGATAACTTGTTGACTCTTGCATAGGTTGCTGTTCGGAAGTTGAGGGAATCTCATCCACATCTGCGACCGCAAATCACGTGCCTCTGTTCATGGCAGATGTTCTGCCATGAACTGACACGTGGCATCGTCACATGAAGCCCTTGTCTACGCATCGGATGTTGTTGCGGACTTCTGCACCGCACAAATTTGCACACGTCTGGACTAAACCGGCAGACGTTTTGTTAGGGCAGCCCCGAAAAATCTTTGCGGCGAATGGGATCGCCAGATCTCTGCGCGCCAGTGAAAACTTGCGCTCCAGATAGTATCTGACACAATGTGTCTCGGAGATGGTTGCAGAGCCTATAAACACTGCCAGATGCAGAGTCTATGAGAGACTGAACGAGAATGAATTGACTAAGGGAAAGTTGGGTACAAATGTAAACCCTAGAAAACTGTACCCCATATGTGCTACCCCACTATAGCCTACAGTAGCTATGTCATATAAATCTGACACACCCCCATAGGCAAAGTGGGGGAGAACAAGGGGTCAGAAGACCAGTCAAGCAAAGCAAAGCAAGCTCAGGGTGGATCACAAAGTCACCACACATTCCGAGCACAAGTTCAAGGCCACAAGGCCAGTTCACATGCAGGATTACATATATATATAAGGCTAGACAAGCAAGAGCAGGTGTATATATATATGCAACAGTACAAACAAGGTCAAGGGGTGAGCAAGTGAGGCAAGGTAGGCACAAGACCCAGCTGAGTATAGAAGCGCTGATGATCACAAGGCGCAAGTGCCTTGGTGAAGATATCAGCAGTGTTGGCCTGAGAGGCCACGTACGCAAGCCGCAGCTGACCACGCTGCTGTAGCTCACGAGCAAGGAAGTAGCGGAGAGCAATGTGCTTCGTTCTGTGCTCCAGTCTCTGCTCTCGACACAAGGCCAGCATGGCCTTGTTGTCTACGTACAGCACTGGAGGAGAACGAGGCGGCTCTCCGAGGTCAGTCAGCAGGTAGGTGAGCCAGCGAAGCTCCTGTGCAGCCATGGCCCCGGCGTAGATCTCAGCCTCACAACTGGAGCCGAGAACAGAAGACGAGCGGGTAGCCCGCCACGAAACAGAGCCGGAACCAAGGCTGAAGGTGTAACCCTGTGACGACCGCTGCGTAGCCTGGTCGTCAGCCCAAGAAGCGTCTGCGTGCCCAGTGAGGACCACTGGACTCTGCCCTCCAAGCACAAGCCCCATGCCCGACGTACTGCACAAGTAACGCAACACCCTCTTCGCTGCAGCCATGTGCTCCGGTCTGTGTCTCCCAGGAGCAACATAGCGTGCGAGAATGCTAAGAGGGTATGCGAGGTCAGGTCGTGTGCAGGTCATCAGGTACATGAGGCAGCCAACAAGCTCTACATACGGGCCACTCGACTCTACGGACTCATCCGAAGGCAGAGCTGAGAGCGAGTGGCGAGTAGGCAGAGGAGTGGCCTGAGGCGAGGAGTACGTGAAGCCGAAGCGCTGAAGGACCTGCTGCACCATGTGTGACTGAGTCAGGGTAATGGTGCGGCGTGCTCTGTCCCGGGTGATCTGCAAGCCAAGGTAGCTGCGCAGTTCACCCAGGTCTGTGCACGTGTGTCTCTTCTGCAGCTCGGACTTCACGTGGGCGAGTCCAGCAGTGTCAGCTATGGCAAAGACCAAGTCGTCGACGTACACGAGGATGTAGAACGGCGGCAAAGAAGTGTCGGTGCACAGAAACAGCGACGGGTCGGCAGTAGAGGGAGCAAACCCAAGAGCCGCAAGTGTAGTCCTCAGTGTGTCGTGCCACTCACGCGGTGCCTGGCGGAGACCGTAGACTGGCCGCCGGAGGCTCCACTGGGTGCCAGGAGGAAAAGACCCAGTGAAGCCAGGTGGGCGACGCAGCCAGATCTCCTCGTGCAGGCTGCCCTGCAAGAAAGCAGTGCTGAAGTCAAGAGAGTGCAGCTCGTAGTCGCGGTGAGCAGCTATGTGCAGCAGTACCCGAAGAGTGGTCATCTTCGGGGTGGGAGAGAAGGTCTGAAAGTAGTCAACTCCCTGCCGCTGACTGAAGCCACGAGCCACGTAACGCGCCTTGAAGACAGGCGGAGAACCCGGCGGTCGCTTCACCCTGAAAATCCACATGCCACTGACGATGTTCGCCCCAGGCGGGGGAACCTCGTCAACGTAGGTGCCTGTGGACTTCCAGGAAGCCATCTCTGTGTCCATAGCTGCCTGCCACTGAGAGGAGTAGGGACCCTCTATCGCCTCCGCGTAAGAGCGCGGAGTCGGGATGTCAAGTGCATCCGGGTCTCCCTCAGGGGTAAGCAGTACGGACACGAGATGAGGTGAAGCAGCAGCCAAACACTGGAACTCCTCCTGCCTGTCCTCAAGGACGTCCGTGCCAAGGGCACACTCACCCCCGACGGACGGAGGACAGACAGACTCAGACTCAACGACAAGACTAGCAGCGTAGTCTAGACGACAGCGAGCAGCAAAGTCGACGAGCTCAGCAACTAGGGCAGACGCAGCAGTGGACTCAAAGGAAGGGTCAGTGACGACAGTAGCAAGGAGACGCGTGACAGTAGGACTGGCAGCACGAAGAGAGTCCGACTCCGGGTCGGGAAGAGCAGGAAGAGAGGACTCAGGAGGAGAAGGCAAAGGGGCACGCAGAGGAGCAGTGGACGGACGCAGAGACATCCGGTGCGTGCCAGGGACAGGAGGAGGACGCTGACGCGAACCACGACCACTAATGCGAGCAAGACGGACAGGCGACGCAGGGCGAGACACAGGCTCACGACGCTCAGCCAGACCTCCAGTAGGACCAGTGTAGGGAGAAGGAGCGGGCAGTGGGGAGGCCGGCTGTAACTGTAACTGTGACGGGACAGGCTGTGGACACTCTAAGGGAGGAGGAGGACCAGTAGAAGGCGGGAGACCAAGAACCTGCTGAAGGAGCGGAACGAAGTACGGCCGAGGCCGCGCGGCGACTCCAGACACAGCAGGGACAGCACCAGTACCCCCAGCGGCAGCACCAGCGCCAGCAGCACCTCCAGCTCCAGTACCTCCAGCAGCACCAGTAGCACCCCCAGCAGGACTGCCTCCAGGACCGACAGCAGTAGCCTCAGCGCCAACACCCTCAGCAGCTCCAGCTCCAGTCGTACCCGCAGGCCCAGCAGCTCCAGTACTCCCAGTACGAGCACCTCCGGGACCCGCGGCACCAGCACCCTCAGCAGCCGAAGAACCTCCAGCTCCAGCAGCACGCCTCCAGCGCCGGGCAAACCACTCTCGCAGCTCCTGTGGAGAGAGTGGCTCCCGCCGAGACGAAGCACCCGGAGAACCTCCAGGCTCAGCACCGCCA